ATGTTGAGCACTTTCGGATTGTGTTGGGAAAGCTTAGAGAGCATCAGCTATTTGCTAAGTTAAGTAAGTGCAGATTCTAGCAGAGGAAGATTGGGTTTCTTGGTCACGTGGTTTCAGAAGCTGGAGTTGCAGTAGATCCGGAGAAGATTACTGCCATTTCAGAGTGGCCAACAACTAAGAGTGATACAGATATTCGCAGTTTCCTCGGTTTAGGTGGGTACTACATGAAGTTTGTTAAGGATTTTGCCAGCATTGCAAAGCCGATAACGAGACTAATGGGAAAAGACGTCAAGTTTGATTAGACAACTGACACAGACGCCAGTGTTGGTACTTCCGAGGCCGGGACTACCATATAAGGTTTACACTGATGCGTCGGGTACAGGTTTGGGATGTGTGTTGATGCAGGAGAAACATGTTATTGCTTATGCATCGCGTCAGTTGACGCCTCACGAGGTTAATTATCCCACACATGACTTGGAGTTGGTGGCAGTTGTATTTGCGCTGAAAATCTGGAGATCATACTTGTATGGAGAGAAGGTGAAGATTTTTACAGATCATAAGAGTTTGAAGTACATCTTTACTCAAACGGACTTGAACTTGAGGCACCGTAGATGGATGGAATTGTTAGAAGATTATAAATTCGAGATCACCTATCATCCGGGTAAAGCTAATCAGGGGGCAGATGCCTTGAGTAGGCGCATAAGCAATGTTTTAGGGACCAATGAGGTTCAAGAGTTGAGTGGAGTCCTCGCTAGTCTCATATTGTGTGCCACCACTGTAGATGGAGAGGCAACTGGCCTCGAGGCTGTAGAGCAGGCAGATTTGCTATGGAGGATACGCAAAGTGCAAGGTAGTGACGAGGCTTTGCGTAAGCATATCGAGATCAAGATTATTGGATATCATACAGCTTCGAGCGGGATGTTTATGTACCGGAACTGAGTTTGTGTGCGGGACGATAAGCTGTTAAGAAAGGAGATCTTACAGCAAGCACACCACTCAAGTTTCTCTATTCATCCAGGAAACACCAAGATGTACATAGATCTGAAGCGTTATTACCATTGGCCTGGTATGAAGAGGGATGTCGCTACTTTTATATCGCAGTGTCGGACTTGTCAAATGGTGAAGGCAGAGCATCAGGTACCTAGCGGGTTATTGCAAAACCTGCCATTGCCAAAATGGAAATGGGATATGGTGACTATGGAATTTGTGACGGGTTGTCGACCACCACAGGAGGAAAGAATTCCATATGGGTAATCGTGGATAGACTCACCAAGTCAGCTCATTTCCTCGCAGTTAAGAAGACAGACAAAGCTGAGCAGTTGACGGAGATGTATATCAGTGAGATTGTTAGATTGCACGGAGTACCTATTAGCATTGTATCGGATCGGGATATAAAGTTCCCGTCTACATTTTGGAGAGCATTTCAGGAGGCTCTTGGGACCAAGGTCCACATGAGCACCGCATATCACCCGCAGACAGATTGTCAGTTAAAGAGGATTATCCAGACCTTGGAGGATATGTTGAGAGCTTGCGTTTTAGATTGGGAAGGAAGTTGGTTGAAGTACTTACCTCTAGAGGAGTTTGCCTACAACAACAGTTATCACTCGAGCATTAAGATGGTACCATATGAGGCCCTTTACGGTAGACCTTGTCGTACCCCGCTTTGTTGGACAGAAGTGGGAGAGGGACGTGAGATAGAACCAGCAATGGTTCAAGAGACGATAGAGCAAGTTGAGATGCTCAAGGGACGGCTTAAGGAAGCCCATGACCGTCAAAAAAGTTATGCAGATAACCGGCGTAAGGATTTAGAGTTTCAGATCGGCGATCTAGTATACCTGAAGATGAGGATGTTTCAGGGAAGATCTACAACTCGGAAGCTAAAGAAGCTTAACCCGAGATATATGGGACCATTTCCTATTTTGGAGCGGATTGAAGCAGTTTCCTACAGATTGGGTTTATCAGCAGAGTTATCAGATTTCCACGACGTGTTTCATGTGTCAGTTTTGAGCAAAGTCGTGCGAGAGCCAGAGCTCATTTTGCAGCAGCCGCCGAGAGACCTTGGTAGAGATTTATCTGCACTTTGTCAGCCAGTAGAGATTGTGGATCGACAAGTGAGAGCGGATCAGGGAAAGCTGACTATGATGGTTAAGGTTTGTAGGGAGAGAGACGGGATCCAGGAGGAGACCTAGGAGTCTGAGCCCCAAATGAGGATTAAATTATCCAGAGTTGTTTTAGGACGTTATCGGACAGTCAGCGGATGACTCGAATTCGGGGATGAATTCCGTATTAGTGGGGGAGAATCGTAATGACCAAAACCCAAGCCATCAGATTTTAGCCCGTCATGGCCCAGGCCCATCCGAAAAAACCCAAAGTATTTGATATAAAAACCCCATTCTCCCCATTTATTTTTCTGCAAGCAAGAAGAAAAAAAAAGAGTTGTGAGGAAGAGAGAGTTGAGAAGAAGTGTTGGTGTTTGCATGCAGAGTTTGAGTCGCCTGAATCAGTCGACGGAGCCACCACGACCAGCCCGTCACCTCCCATAACCACCTTAGGTATGACCGGAAACCACCACCTCTTTGAGTTAGTTTTTATCTGTTGAGTAAATCATCCCAGCCCGTCTCCAGACAAAGCCGTAGACCCCAACCACGCCGCGATCCGACCCCGTACGAGCCATCACGCGCCCTCCGAAGTTGTGCCGTCCGTGCGCAGGTAGAACACGCGCCACCTCCTCCGCCGCGCGTGAGCCACACACGCCACCATCTCCGACCACAAGTCGCCGGAGCCGCCGTAATCAGCCGCCGTCCGTCCGCCACCGAGAAGCCACCGCCGCCTCTCCGCCGTGCTGCCGCCGTTGAAGCGCCGTCCCCTTCTCGCCGGACCGGTTACCGGAGCCGGTCACTCGCCGGCGACTCGGTTAACTCGGCCGGGTTGACTCGGCGAGTCAGCCGTTGACTCGGTTAACCGGTTTGTGTTGGTCAATTTTTGTTATTGTTTTGGTTAGGGTTAAACCGGCGGTTAAAATCAATTGGATATCGGTTAGGATAAACCGGTTAATTAAATTGATTTAATTGGTTAGCGTAAACGAGTTGGTCGAATTGAATTTGATTTCGGTTAAGGAAAACCGGATGGTTTAATTCAATTTCAATTTGGATAAGGCTTGACCAGGGTTGATTTTGACCTGCGGGTTGACTTTTTGACTAATCCTCCTGAAACCTGTTTCTAACCATTTGAAAGCCGTTTTGACTCGATTTTTCTCTCTGGTTTCAGATTTGGAGTCTATTTGAGCATCAGGAGTTCATAGACATCACTTTTCCACATTTCTAAGGTGAGGGCCATTCCGTTCAAATCCCGAACTAGTTTAGTACTGCTATTATGAAAACTCTAGTTTCGAAACATGATCCGTCCCTGTGAATCGAGTCTTGCTTGTTTATTTTTATTCTTGATTGCTAAAATAGAAATAGAATAATAGAGGGTCAATGGTTGTGTGAAATGATTGACGCTGAGAATTGTTATATATATGTATATATATAGTTACATAGTAGGGACTATGTGATGTGGGCAGGGGTTCAAATATATCTGAAATAGAAACGCCACGGGTTTTGTGCGGGGGCCCAAAGACGTCTGAGCTAGCGCTGCAGCGGGTTTTGGGCGGGGGTACAGTGAGGTACCAGCAACGCCGCGGGTTTTGTGCGGGGGTACAGAGACGTTTGTACTAGCGACGCAGCGGGTGGTTGTGCAGGGGTACAGAGATAGACTGTATTAGCGACGCAATGGGTATGTATATCCTTATGAGGAGATGTGCGGTGCAGGGAGTAGCTATGTACTATGAGCGCATGGGTGATAGTTGATAGTTGACTAGTGTACTAGATTTGCATTGTGTGTTCTGTGTAGTGTTCTATCACCGTGTTTGATTCATGCTAGAGCTAGGCCTACATAGTAGTAGTGCTATGTACTGAGTCAGTGGTTTAAGGTTTAGCACCCCATACCTTACTGAGCGACTCCCCTGTTGCTACCCCTCCTTTCTTTTCCCTTGCAGGTGAGACCGATATGCAGGAGTGATTCTATCAGACCGGTGCTATTCGGGCTTTTGGACTTCTATCCTATCTTATCGTATTTTATCATTATTGTGCTTATAAGCCGTTGGATTTTTATCGCTTATGTTGTTTCGTATTTCCGGCTTACGGTTTATGTCGTTATTTATATTTCAGAAATTTTGTTGTATTATGAATTTCCTCCGACGTGGACGATGACTATTTAGTATTCTGTAATGGAGATTTATGTTATTATTATTCAGTTATTTTATTATTAATAGTTTCAAGTGACGGGTGTCACATAATTTCTAATAAATTTTTTTTTGATGATTTTCATTGTTTCTAGATATTTTTTTTTGCATTTACTATATTGCGTCACATTTTGCAGTTAAATATTGGTCTCCACATACTACGGTTGGGTTTGTAGCCGTAAAGTCACGCCTAAGAAAAAACAATTATTCACAAAACTAAGTGCTTGATCTTTTCTTTCTAGGAAGAAATTATTCTAAGTATATCGTCTGAAGGTTTCAAAGAATCCTATATAAATAGAATATAAAGTGTATCTTGTAGGTGATGCAGCGTCTGTTGAATATATAACTGTTTGGAACTGAAACTAAATTATTTATATGACAAATGATGAAATAGTAACTTATGGCTTTTCCTTTGGCATGTTTAGGAAGCCATCATCTTAGCAGGACGGAGACAACACAAACACTTGTGCCAGAGAGGGAACACATTCTTCCAAGTTTTCAAAGGGTAATCTTAGACAAAACCGTTGACTTTGTTCTTATTAGTTGTTTATACTAACCCCCAAGATTTGTTTTTATTCAAGGATTATCATAAATCACTATATTAAGACATAATGTGCACCTCACCTTTCTTATCAAAGATACAAGTTAGCAAAAGACAGGCATATTAATTTTCTTCTCATTAGCCTTATTTTCCCGATTTTCATATTCAAGGATAACCATGGCTATCCACAATATCCTTTTCGCTTCACTTCTAATCTGCTTACTGATCCAATCCAGTCATGGTGCTACCAAAGAAAGGCTCTTCTCTGACCTGGAGAAAAGCGCACTTGAGGTCACCGCTACACCCAGCCGTGTTGGAGAAGGTGTTGATACGTATATTCTTTTATCCATATTTCGTTCCTTAAATCCAGCATATCTTTGGGTGTTCAAGATTAAATAGTGCTGTTTTTACGATTTTAATCATGGTTATTCTGTAAAAACCTTAAATGTCAAAAGTATTCGTAGAACCAGAGGTCCCAAAGTCTGAATTACATCACTGGTTATAAGACGTCTAAATCATAATTACTTTAAAAGTGATGCAAATCATATTATCTGACATTAATGTACAAAAATGGAGTCATTACTGACATACGTCATGGCTGATCAATTGTGGATGTTGTGGTTTTTAGTTTTGGCTGCAGGAATTGATAAGTTGAGCATTACATGGAAGGTAAGCTCGACTGCTACAAAGGAGCCTGAATTTAAGGCCATTAAAGTAAAGCTATGCTACGCTCCGGCCAGCCAAGTTGACCGACCATGGCGTAAGACAGAAAATGAGCTCTTCAAGGACAAGAGCTGCCCACACAAGATCTCTTCATGGTCCTATGATCCCGCTGTGAAAACCGCTCAATCATTCGACTACACCCTCGAGCGCGACATCCCTACAGGAACCTACTTCGTTCGTACATACGCTGTTGATGCCAAGGACCATGAAGTTGCTTTTGGACAGAGCACGAACGAGAACAAGACAACCAATCTCTTCAGCGTTCAGGCTATCAGTGGCCGCCACAAGTCCTTAGATATTGCCTCGGTCTGTTTCAGCGTCTTCTCCGTCCTGGCTCTATTCGTCTTCTTTGTTAACGAAAAGAGGAAGGCTAAGATAGAGCAAAGCAAATGAGGCGTTTACTTTGGGTTATTGCTACGTTCCACAAAATGGGGTTGACTTTTGAATTTTCAACTTTTACCTGCGTGTTTGTATCGTTATATAAAACCATTCATCTGGAGCCAAGAAAACTATCCACGTTGGTGATGTGTTATTAGGCCTGGGCATTTTCCGGTTCGGATCAGGTTTAGGTCAGGTCATGTCGAGTCCAGATCCTTCGGGTCTTAGATATTTAGATTCAATAAGGTAATTAGACTTTGTCGGTTCGGGTTCTACCGGTTCGGGTCGGTTCGGGTCTTATATAGTTGGATCCAATAGGGCAATTAGAATTTATCGGTTCGAATACGGTTTAATTTCGGGTCGGGTTCGGTTTGGGTCCTACGGGTATAGCTAAAAAAATACCTAAAACACAGAAAAGTATCGAAAAATATTTAAATATCCAAAAAATACCTAAATTTTACCCAAAATCTGACTCGGAGACATAAAAATATCCAAAAATTTATCTGATTATTTTAATTATATTTTTAAAAACCTAAAATTTTACTTGAAACCCGTAATTATATCCGAAAACCCAAATCCGAAACATAAAATAATACTCATAATACTATAAAAATACTAAAACTTATATATATATATACATAATATATACTAGAAGTTTTGGATATTTCGGGTATCCCATCGGGTCTCGGGTTCGGATCGATTCGGGTTCAAGACCCGCGGGTCCTCCACATCAAGACCCAATAGGGTAAAATGATCGATTCGGTTCATACCCGAATCGCACATTTTTCGGATCAATTTTGGGTCGGGTCTTCGGGTCCAGGTAAAATGCCCAGACCTATTTATTATATTGTATGCTTTCTACATTCTTTTCGATAAAATATTACTAAAGGAAAATAAACAATTAACAAATACTAACATAGTTTAGCTAGCCAAACACGATGGATCCACTCCAATGCACTTAGTTGATCACCTCTTTGCTCCGATTGGTAATAATTTTTGTTTCAGACTTTTACTTTAGGTTTTTGAATGTAGAGGTTTTGGCTTTTAAAAAACTGAATGTTATTTTAACTTAATTTTATATAAAGTATGACTGGAATCAATATCTGTAGAGGCTGTGAAGGTTTAAGAAAAAACTAACCCAAAATAATTTTAAAAACCAAAAAAAAATTTATATAATAAAAATTAAATTGAATAGTTGTGTATATAAATATCTGATACAAACTACAAAAAAAATAATGTTCATACTTTAAAAAGTTATCTATAATTATTTTTTGGGAAAATTTCCAAATATGACTCATAACTTGATTTCAAATGAAAAAGTAAACCCCAAACTTGAATCAAATGCAAAAGTAACATAAGATGCTATTAAAATTACAACAGCCCCTTGTGAACAAACAAAAAACTAAATATGACTTACTTGAAAGTCGTCTACTATAGTTATTCTAAAAAATAATTTAAAAATTTTGTAAAAAATATTTTGATTAGTAAAAAATTGAAATCATGTAATTAACATATATTTAAGAGATATCAATTAAGATATAACAAAATTTAATTGTTTTCAATATAAATGAGTGGAAGTAGTGAGCCATGATATTCTTTGGTCTAGGTTTTGCCACCATATGTTGTAGTATTGTATGTGTTTCTTAGGATTAGATTTTCGAAAGCATAAATGTTTTTCTGAAAAATTTAAAATTTACCTAAGTGTGTTTATTTCTGTGTATATTAAACACTAATTAAGTACAATTTGATTTTAAAAGGTTTAGGGTTTAGGGTCTGGACGACTTAATAGTAAGTCGTCCAAACCTGACAGAATCTTTAATTTTACCAATGTACTTTTAAACCTATCCGGATTATTTACCGGACACATAAAGATGTGTTTTACTCACTTTTTCGCGAAATTCAGAAAACCCTAACGCAGTTTCTCTCAAAGGTGATTTCCGTCGATTCTCTCTAATCCATCGTTCTCACCGCCAGTTATATCTCCGCCGTTATCACTATCATTACCACCACCGTTCTCACTGTCTCTTCCTTTATTTCACATCTGAGAGCAAACCCTAGCGCCGTTTTTCTGTAAACCCAAGCGCCGTTTCGCGTCTCATTCGCACCACTGGTTCACTGTAAACCCTAGCGCCGTTTCTCTTAGAGGCGCTTCGTTGAACTCCTCCACCGGTAAGTTATATCTCGTACTGTCGAGTGATTGATTGAGGAAAAGATGAAACTAAAATGTTGCCTCTATCAATTTATGACTTAAGGTGTATCTATACTTGTTCTCACCGTCATTCTTCGTGCTTCTTTTTTTACGTCTATTTTCCAGATCTATAACCGATGTGTCGAAGGCGACTATATCTTCTCCGATTTTCAGGTCGGCTTTAAAAAGTTCTACGGGAAGTCTTGGAAGACTTGCCAGACGATTTAATTATAAGTCGTCTAGAAAGTCTTCCAGACTTATAATTAAAATGTTATACTGGATGGTTGTGTGTTTGAGATGGTTGTCTATTATTTTTTTGCAGAAAAAATGGACATTCTAGAACTCCCCCGTAGGATACATACATGAGGGGAGAACCCCCTGTATTGAATAGCATTTCGTATCATACGGATTGTTCGAAGTTGCATACTACTTTAAGGAATGCTCTTCATGATGATGAAAATTTATAGCTTAGGGAGTCTAAGTTGGGAGTTTTCATCAAGCTCAAAGAGCTGGGATTTGGTTGGGCTTCAAGGCTGGTTCACTACATGTTCGGTTTCCAACTCGACATAAAGAAGAAGTATGAGCTGTGGAGTTTTGTTGGTCTACAACCTTCGAGGTTTTCATTGTTAGAGTTTGAAAACCTCACTGTTCTAAACTACAAGTACATTGAGGACCTTGAGAGACCAAAATGTGTTATTACAAAGGAGTTGGCTTCTTTCTGGGAGTTGTTGGGGGTTCATGTCGAAGCTGGGCCAACTACTAAACAGATAATAAAAGCATTTGAGAGATGTGAAGGGTGGTCTCGGATGATCGCAAGCGGCTCGGGTTCCTTGCCATTTTCACTGGATACATTGAAGGGAGAAAGTATTCAACCCCTACACGGGTTAGTCTGGCAGGCTAGTGATGGATTTTTAGAACGATTTGAGAATTATCCATGGGGGAGTGTCGCGTTTAAGGTGCTGATGGACTCTGTGAAGGGCAAAGATACTTCTGATTCTTACACTTTTGATGGGTTTGTACAAGCTCTCCAGGTCTGGGTGTACACAGCTCTGCCAGAATCGGTGCTAATTATGGTAAACCCATACCAAACAGACCGCCTCCACCGATACTGACTTACTTCAATCCAAAAGACTTCGCAAAAAACTTATAATTAAGTCATCTAGAAAGTCTTCCAACAAGATGACTTAATAGACGACTTATAATTAAGTCGTTTGGAAAGTCTTCCAGCTGGATCACTTAGTAGAAGACTTATAATTAAGTCGTTTGGGAAGACTATCCAGACGACTTAATTATAAGTAGTCTACTAAGTCGTCCAGCTGTAATACTTTCTAGAAGACTTAATTATAAGTCGTCTGCTAAGTCATCCAGCTGGAAGACTTTCCTTATGACTTAATTATAAGTTCTCTACTAAGTCTTTTCTTTCCATCTTTCTTAATCCGTCCTCAGTTCATATCTTCTATTTACTACAGACTAGGGTGATCAACTTTGTTGAGAAGGACATTGGTGAAATGTTTCCACAATGGGACTCTGATGTTGAGGACCCGACCGCGGAGAACATAATTAAACTCATGTATAATTAGAGACCGTGGAAGTGGACCATGGATTGCTGGGAAGTCACCGGTACTTGGGTCAATACAAAGCCAGCAGTTGTGAGTCTAGCGAAGAAAGCGTTAGTTCTGGTGAAGGAAGACAAAGACAGTCCAAGACCTCGGAAGAAAGCTCGTAAAGAGGTTAGTGAAGAGGCACCTGCAAAGGAACATGAAGAGGTTCCTACAGAGGCTCGTCCAGAGGTGACTACGAGTGTTGGTGGGCTGATAAAAAGAGGATATTGAAAGAATGTTGAAGGATTCTTTGAAGGATGTACTTGATGCCATGAGTGGAGGGTTTGGGACGTGCCTTAAGGAGATCAAGCATCTATATGAAAGGGTTGAAGCTGTGGAGAAGATCGTTGGTATCACCAAAAAAGGGAAAGGGGCATCATCTGAAAACACTATCTCTCAACCTAAAACGTACGAACCGGGGCTAGTTAAGCATCCTCTCCCAACAAGAATTTGACTAGACAAAGTCTTAAGAATAAGAGTTGAAAGTTGGATTTGCTTTGTTTCTTGTATGTCCGAACATGTATGATTTGTTTATAGTGTGCTTATTTTGGTTCTGTTTATGGACTTTCTATATTGATTTTCTTTCATGCTTGAAATGGATCTTTGGTTATTATTGTTTGAAATGGATCTTTGTTTATAGTGTGCTTGTTTTATTTTGGTTAATACTGCAGAGTAAAAGTGTTAATGGGGCGAACACGAGAAAGAAGAGCTTGCTGGAGAAAAAGTTCCAGATGTGTCTGCAGATGCTAGTTCCTCGAAAGAGACCAGTCTCGTTTCGAGCTTTCCCGAGGATAAACCTCCAAAACCGATCCTTGTTCTATTGGAGAAACAAGCACCCACTATTTCGGATGTACAGAGGGTGGATGATAGATATCAGGAAAACAGGGATGCTTCTTTGGCGGTTATACGTGCAAAGAGTGATCGAACAAGGAATTTTGTTGCCTCACAGCAATCTCCTTATACGGCAAACAGCACGGCAGAAGTGATCATTCCAAACAAAAATCTTTTTCCAGGCTATAATCCTATTGCACCAATTAACAAGAACAAGTTGAAGAAGCTCGCTGAATGGTTGAAAACTGATCTGTAAGTGATTGCTTTTCCCATAATAGCTTGCTTTAGTCTACAAAAACTTATTGCTTTTCAACATTTTGTCTTTGCAGTCATTATAAAACACTTCTCGACAAAAAGCCACGTATAGCATCAACTATGTGGTATCACACCCTCCGGACCTCTTTACCTTGGCTGGATGACTGTGTAAGTCTTCTGCTATGACTTATGTCTTCTACCAGTAAGTCGTCTGGTAAGCATTCTACGTAGACGACTTTGTAGATGACTTACCAGTAAGTCGTTAGGTAAGTCTTCTTTGTAGACT